CCTGTCGCAGAGGACAGTACGACTTTACCCCCAGACCGCCCCGTACCACGATTGCTCGTAGTGCGGGGTCTCGTTGCTCTTGGTCTGGCTGCTCCCCTTTGGCCTTCCTGGCATGGTTGTACCTTGTGGAACGAAGTTCCAGTCAGTGTAGCTCGCAGGATCATTGCAACACTCAAGCCCGACCACCACGTCAAGCTGACAGCTTTAGGTCGGGGCGCCTAGCTGCCATGCCAACGGAAGGAGGCACGAGGGCTAGAGTTGTACGAGACATGGAAAGTCGAGATGCAGAGGTTGGTTTCGAACCACGGACCTTCCAGTCCGTAAGCTGGCGCCGTAACCACTAAGCCATCCCTGGCCCCGCCTTGTTGTGAAGAAAATGATAAAGGTTGGAGGAAAGGGGACTTTTTGTTGCCTACCACACAATTCCGAGGTGTCTAAACCTCCAGACATTCAGAAAGCTGGGACATAAACTGATAACAAGAACGCCATTGACATCGATTCGCAGCCAAAATTTGCAGCATTCATACACAGGCGGGAGGGGGTCACACGGACCACACACTGGAAGGGAGTTGCCCCGAGAATTCGTAGACCTTTCGTAATCCATTTCATCTCCCTCTGCCTGGTAATGGGTTGCCTACTTTTCTGCTTGCGCGATTCCGAATCGGGTATGGAGAGCAGCGCACTTCCCGGCGAGCGATCACTGGGCATGAGTCATATTTAACTAAAGTACCGGGGCTTTTGCCGCTGCACACATTCTTCGATTGAAGTCTTTGCTGCACAGCCGAACACTCGTTTTCTAGTTTTTGTTGTGGATTCGCCTACACCAACCTACGCGAGCTATGGTTCCGGGACAACGATTTCGAAGATCCGAAGATGTCCCAGTTCGGCTGCTCGCAGAGGCCATGTTTTACTGCCGTATTACAATGCAGTCCTTATTGTAGATTGTTACACAATTCCCTTGGCATTTAGGAATATGCCGCCTTTCTGCCATAGTCCTCTTAACAGCAAACGCGATCTGAGCCTTAGATATTCGTCTACTGACTTCATCTGTTACACCACAACTGGAAGTTGTGCGGCTTTCAAGATACGCGAGTCGCTCCACAATTTCCTGTACTTCTTGGGTTGTGGGTGACATGTCCAGTGATTGTATCCCCAGAAATATGATCTTACAGTTTATGGATGCAAAGCCCATGCCACAATACGGGATGACTTTGATTATTCATCTAAAATAAATGCGTTCTTTTCCTTTTCTTTGAAGACGAAAAGAAGACGATAACAAGGTTCTTGTCACTAGCTATTTGAAGACCTTCTGCTGTTCGTTTCGTTACCTCATTGAAAAAAATCGAATAAGAGTGCAGAATGGGTATGTTATCGAGCGTCACTTTGTGTATGGAAGATTTCCCCACACACTCTTACAAACTTCTAAGACATTCCTTGCTTCGCAAACGCGTTAAGAATAACAGACCAGAGATACTAAAGTTGTGGGTCATTTGGCAAATTTTGGTG